AACGCTCACAGCCTGCTAAAAGCGATTTCCGTCAAATTTCCTCAAAAGTGTACATTGACACTTTTTTTCTGCATGTACGGAAATTTCAGTACTTTTGGAGGGTTCAGGAATAGGGATTCTGTTTTCCCCGAAATGGTTTCGGTGTTTCTGTTGTGTGTCGAAATGGGGATTCGGAGCCCCGAAATGGCATTCGGTGGTCCTGTTGTTTTCCCTGTGTGTGTTGAAATGGGGATTCGGAGCCCTGAATCGGTGCCTGTTGTGTTCCCTGTGTGTGCGTGTGTCAAAATAGGGATTCGGAGCCCCGAAATGGCTTCGGCGCTCCTGTTGCTTTCCCTGCAAACCAAGCCCAAAAGGGACTCGACTCAAAAAAACCAAGGCCCCCCCACGCAGGTGAAACAATTCCGGGGGGTGAGCCGCCGGCCTTTCTTTCAAAAAGAGCCCGGAGGAGGCGAGACGATGGGGCCAATTACACGATCGGGGCAAGCCGCAGGGTTTTGGCTTGGTGGGTGGTTTGGTTTAGTGGCTGGGGATGTGAACCTCTGCATTTCAGGTGACCCCCAAACAACCAAACCAATCCAAGCCACCAAGTACCTGGAGTCTCCCTAAGGACCCGAAATAAAAATGAGTCCATGACCCTTTTATTTTGGGTAATGACCCGGCCCATGTTTACAAAGTCATGAAGACTCCGTTTCCACTTACCAGGGTTCCATTTTGGCGCCGGTTGTTTGAGCCACAGCCATATCTGAATCCCAAGAATTCGACACGCTTACTCTGATCAACAGAGCCATCTTAGATGAATCTCGTTCGGGGTACCTCTTTTTCGAGATCAGATGTCAGTTTGCGGGGGTGTCCTCTGACATGTGTATATAGTTGTTTTGTTTGATTTTGAAGGGAACATAGTCTCGACAGATCACTGTTTGTGTTCCAGGCGGTTGGACCAAGTAGCGGCTTTGCACTTGAAGTCAACAAACCACACTTGCCGGGCTTGCTGTCAAGTTTTTGTGCTGCCCCTGCTTAACCTGGTTTGCGAGGATCGATATGGCCAGAGGCCACTGCCTTTGCTTGGGACTTGAGACTTTGTTGTTTTCCTCTGCTGGTTTTGAAGGGAATCCATTTCACTGGACATTTATCATCTCATTTTTCCGGACGGAAAAACATATGGAAGCTCCAACTCGCGGAGTCACCCATGTCACATGCTGATGCCTAGAGACGCTGAAACGCCTTGGGCTGCCATACAGAAGCTGTTTTAGAAAGAACAGCGTTTAAAAGAGGAGTTGGTCGCCCGAAAGAAATCTGCCCGAAAGAGGTGTTCACTTCAGGCTTTTGACACATGTTTCCAATCCATTTGGGGTACATTTTGTGAGCCACAGCCAATTGGGCTTGGGCCATTTGAGTGGGGCAATTCAACAAACAGTTGGGTTCTGACCAATCCAGGAAGGGATAATTTGCCATGGCGAGAAAGATTGCGGTGCGGCAGCTGTCCGGGGCAGACAAAGCATTCTCAGCGCCGACAGACATGCCCATCCACGAGTTCAAAAGGCAGCTGCACGGGTGGCTGCCCTGTGCAGATGAATCGAAGCGCAACATGAGCTCGGTGGAGCTGGTTGTTGGAGACAGGCCGCTGTTGAACAGCAAGGAGATGGTGTCGGAGGCCATTCCAGGTGCAGAAGTTCTGGCGTTCCTGTGCATCAAGCCGGTGACATGCTCAAGCTGCCTAGCCTCTGGCGTCGAGGCAGGAGATTTGCGTGTGGTGGAAATTCCAGAAGGCGTTACAGAGATTTTGCCTGACGCCTTCTCTATGTGCAGCTCATTGGCAAAGGTGACCATCCCCGACTCAGTCACTCAGATCGGAGGAAGTGCCTTCGAAGGTTGCAGCTCATTGGCAACCGTGACCATCCCCGACTCAGTCACTCAGATCGGAGGAAGTGTTTTTGAAGGTTGCAGCTCATTGGCAAGGGTGACCATCCCCGACTCTGTGACTGTGATTGGGGAAAAAGCCTTCAAAGGCTGCAGCTCATTGGCAAGTGTGACCATCCCCGACTCAGTCACTCAGATCGGACGAAGTGCCTTCGAAGGTTGCAGCTCATTGGCAACCGTGACCATCCCCGACTCAGTCACTCAGATCGGAGGAAGTGTTTTTGAAGGTTGTAGCTCATTGGCAAGGGTGACCATCCCCAACTCCGTCGCTGTGATAAGAGACTTTGCCTTCAGAGCTTGCAGCTCATTGGCAAGTGTGACCATTCCCGACTCTGTGACTGAGATTTGGGAGTTTGCCTTTCATGGTTGCAGCTCATTGGCAATCGTGACCATCTCGGACTCTGTCATTTGGATTCAAGAAAGTGCCTTTGCAGGTTGCCGCTCATTGGCAACCGTGACCATCCCCGACTCAGTCACTCACATCGGAGGAAGTGCCTTCCAAGGCTGCAGCTCATTGGCAAGCGTCACCATCCCCAACTCCGTCGCTGTGATAAGAAACTTTGCCTTCAGAGCTTGCAGCTCATTGGCAACCGTGACCATCCCCGACTCAGTCACTCGGATCGGAGGAGCTGCCTTCGAAGGTTGCAGCTCATTGGCAAATGTTATCATCCCCAACTCAGTCACTGTCATTGCAAGTGCTGCCTTTGCAGGTTGCAGCTTATTGACAAATTTGACCCTCCCCAACTCCTTGACTCGACTTGAACAATTTGCCTTTGCACATTGCAGCTCATTGCCAAGCGTGACCATTCCAGACTCTGTGACTGTGATTGGGGAAAAAGCCTTCACAGGCTGCAGCTCATTGGCAAAGGTGACCATCCCCGACTCTGTGACTGAGATTGGGGAAGGTGCTTTTACAGGCTGCAGCTCATTGGCAACCGTGACCATCCCCGACTCAATCACTCAGATCGGACGAAGGGTTTTTGAAGGTTGTAGCTCATTGGCAAGGGTGACCATCCCCAACTCTGTGACTGTGATTTGGGAAAAAGCCTTCATAGGCTGCAGCTCATTGGCAAGTGTGACCATTCCCGACTCTGTGACTGAGATTGGGGAGTTTGCCTTTCAAGGCTGCAGCTCATTGGCAATCGTGACCATCCCGGACTCTGTCATTCGGATTCAAGAATGTGCCTTTGAAGGTTGCAGCTCATTGGTAACCGTGACCATTCCAGACTCTGTGACTGTGATTGGGGAAAGCGCCTTCAGAGGCTGCAGCGCATTGGCAAAGGTGACCATCTCTGACTCCGTCACTGCGATCAAGGCCTCTGCCTTTGCACATTGCAGCTCATTGGCAACCGTCACCATCCCCGACTCAATCACTCAGATTCGAGGAAGTGCCTTTCAAGGTTGTAGCTCATTGGCGAATGTGACCATTTCTGACTCCGTCACTTTGATTGGACATTTGGCCTTTGCCAGTTGCAGCTCATTGCGAAGCGTTACCATTCCCGACTCCGTTACTGTGATTGATGATTATGCCTTTCTATGTTGCAGCTCATTGGCAAACGTGACCATTCCTGACTCACTTACTCGGATTGGGACAAGTGCCTTCGAAGGTTGCAGCTTATTGGCAGTTAGGAGAAGGCGCAAGGCGACACCTTCCCTGGGAGCCCCGCGGAGCAAAATTCGCAGAATCACCTAGATACTTCCATTTGGTTAAGGAAAAACATGTTATTTTTCCCTGTTGGTTTTAAAGGGAATCTATCACTACTGGAAATATATATTTTTTCCAGGGGACTTAAGCAAATGGAGGGATATCTCCTCCTCTTTTCACAAAGCATCTATGCCTCGCAGAGAAGCAGTCCGAAGATCCCTTGCACAAGTGTTTCGCAGAACCCCCCTTATCTTGGTGGCTCCCAGCGATCCCCTTAGCCTTTTAGCCTTTTATGCCTTTTAGTGTGTAGTGGCAGTCTCCATTTAACCCACTGAAGCTTATTCACTTTTAGCGGGGGATCAGAAAACGCGCGGCCCAGTTATAGCTCAAAACCTCGCGGAGCATGCCGCGAGCACAGCAAGTCGTCCCTGCAGAAGCAGAGACATAGCTGTCGCCCGAGATCTGTCACGGTTTCACGAGAGCGGCGCTCATGCGGTGCTCATGCGGGTCAAAACACGGGGAGGACTCACATGGTCAGGGATAGGCGGCTTCGGGCATGTGAATGGGACAATTTGTCCAAGCTAGAACACGCAATATATTTTGTTCAGCAAGGAAAGAATGGAGAAGTCCTAGCAGCGCTCAATATTAACCTTCATGTACTGTGGCAAAGGGGATCGCACGGGCCACACTCTCTCCAAGTTCCTCTTCAACATTGCTTGAGGAGATTTGGTTGATGGGGCCATCGACATTGCCATGAAATTTAGGGTTACCTGCTGAATATGACAATACCTCATGTCTGCTGGAACATCTCGAGTTGACCTGTCGGCAGATAGCGCGCGATCTGCATGTCCCATCCTTGGATTTTCCGTTTTGCACGAGGATCATTTGTAGGGGCCTTGGCGACCCCATTTTCCTCTGTCTCTTATTTGTTGCATCTCAAAACTCGCCAAACATGGGCCATACTGAGATTGGTTGGGATCAACATCAATTGATTGAGGTTGCTCATTCAAAGTGTATTCGAATCCTTGCCAAAAGCAGTGTGCCTAAAGCTATGGGTGTGTGCTTCTTGAGGGTACCTGGAGTCTCCACAAGCTTGACTAATAAAGTCATTATATACGCAAAAGTCTCTATTTCGATCCCCTATTCAGCACCGTCAAACCCCTCCTGGCTAATCGAGGGAAGCCACGGAGAAGTCAGTGCATGAAGCAGTTATGCAATTGAGTACCTAGAGTCTCCATGACCCCTAGAAAAAGGGGTCATAACCCCTCAATTTTTGGTACTGCCCCCATTATTGTTAACGGGTCGTGCAGACTCCACATAGGCCATGAATAATGCAAAAATGGTCACTGATTCTTGTGAAAAAGAAGGCACCAAGCCACAAGGTGAATTTCAGGGTCCGCTGAACCGCATGGAGTATGGCGTTGGCCTATCGCCTCAGGAGCTTATCCACACGTGCACTCGACATGCTGGACACGAGGACACAGATCGTCCTGCGTGAAGAATGCCGGCTTGATCATCAACGTCAGGTGGGAGGTTGTGAAGCATTGCTAGACTCATGCGACCTTTTGTGTTAAAGCTTTTGGCCCTCTTGGCTTCCCCTCATTTTTCGGTTCACCAGCAGAACAACAACACAAAAGGAAGGATCTGAGGGATTCACCTACGGGCAATTGTGCTGCTACGATGTCCATTTTGGCGTGTCTTTTTTTGGTGGCCACCCACACACACACACACACACGCAAATGGCGTGACGGTTTTTTGTTTGGTTTCCCTTTGTTCAGCCACCAAAAAAGGGTACCAATTGAAAAAGACCACCTTTTTTGTTTGGCAAATCTGTGAAATCTGTGGCAAGGTTTTCCGTCTGTGGCAGCCAACATGGGTTTTTATGTCCATTTTCGGGTTAGAACAAGGGAAAAGCACATTTTCGGTTTGCAAGCGGCGAGCTTTCTCTTGTGTCAGACCACCTGGCTTCGCTCTCTGCTCGCAAGCCCCACACAGGACCTCGACGACCGCAAAGCTTTTTCGCCTTCGGGGGAAAAAGCGAAGCCGTGTGCGATTGGCAAGCAAGGGAGCCAAACGCTCTCGATTGATTCGGGGCCCTCAAACAGCCAAGCTTTGAGACCCCAAAACCCCTCTCTGGGGTGTCCAATGAAGAGGTTTAAGTCTTCCATTGGAAGCCCCAGAAGCGTCTGGGCAACAAAAATACTGTGACATGGATGGGTGAAATCCGTTTCGCACCACCGTTCAGAAACCCAACCAAATGATATTGATTCCCCTGTAAATACCAACAAACATGCTGGCTTCAAGCATGGTTTCTTAGATGCGGATTCGCGGATTCGAGATGGCCCATCCACAGTGTCAAAGTACCTGCCCACTTTCCCATGTCTCACTTCCCGGGGTTGGATTTTTTGTTTTTGGCCAAAAAGTTCCTGGACTGTCCGATCCAAACCTCCGAGTGGCCGCGGAGTGCTGCGAAGCCTTCTTCGCGCGCGCCTTCGAATCGTGAGCCGCGGAGAAGCCGAGGCACTACCTTTACGAGATGCAGCAGAGGAAGTGCGCCGTCGACCGAAGGGAGTGCCTGGGCGTTTCTTTTATTGAAAGCTTCTAGGTCCCCCAGTAGTGCCATTTTACCCTTTTTTGGGGGAGGGTTCCCCTATGTAGCTACTAAGATAGACAAAAAAGGAAAAAGTGGGTACCCTATTCTAAGCTCTCAAATCTGGAGGAAGTGCGCCAAACGAAAGGCGGCTTTCGGAGGTGCCAAGCCAAGTCATCTGGGTGTCTTTGATTGAAGGCTTTCTTTGACTGATCAAAGCCTTGTGTGCCTTGGGGGTCTTTGATTGAAAGCTTTCTTTGTTAATGTTCACCCCGGATTAATAAACCCGTCCCATTGTTAGGGGGGTGTTCCCTCAAGTGGTCTGAATCCAACCACTAAAAGGAATTGGACACCCGATCAAAAAGTCCACCAGGAATTGGTTCTGCTTAATCCAAGGTTAACATGAAGGGTTCAAATTTGCCAAGTTGCTTAGGGAAACTAAAGGGATGTCATTAGGGACAAATGGGAGTCCGTCATTTTCAGGCATTCCGAATAGAGGGTCTGCAATGCAACACTTGCGATCGGTGCGATAGGGAAAGATAAATGGAATGAACCCAGGCTGTGCCCTTAAAGGAAACCACCAGTTGGGATTCAGTTTTTCTAAAGGTCCCTAGATAGCCAAATTGCTGATTTTTCAGTCACTGTTGCTGGTTTTTGTTGGGCTTTGTTTGAGTGCATGAACCAAAAAACGATCACAACTAGGGATCCAGGTAAATTTCAATTTAGGAGCCTGTGTGGACATAGGGAGTCAAGTTCTGACACCATGAGGGTCTTTCCATTGTAGATCACAGCCATCAGGGATCCATCATTCCCGACCTCTCGCACCGATGGCAAGAAATTCAAGCCACACGGACACCATCAGAGAGCCGTGCGAGCGCTTGTAGCTAGGTCCAGCGATTGGTGCCCTTTCCCGTTTCTTTTCTGGTTCGGAGGGTTCCCCTACTAAAATAGACGACCAAACAAAATCGGGTACCAACTTATTCTAATCTCTCAAATCTAGAGGACCCAGGTACTGGTAGGTTGTAAACAGGGTAAATGGGAAGGCCTCGAGGGAAAGACACAAGAGCTTCGGGCTTACTTGGGTTGCCCTCAGGTCCAAAGCGAATCGACCTTTCGTCCAATCTTAGCTTGGTGGTTTGCAGACCAATCCCCCTTGGCTTTTTAGTCTTGGGCTGGATTTCTATTGAACCCACTAAAGGTTAGTCACTTTCAGTGGATCTGAAGATAGCTCAGTGAGTGGCCCATGATCACTTTGATTTCCAGGTCCCTCCGCCAAAAAAGGCCAGTGACCCCAAACAGGCACCCTCAAAAGCGTGAGACACGCCCAGGGGTGAAAGGAGGTCTGTCAAAAGCTCTACCAGGCTACCATGCACGCGATCTGAGGTGTTCCATCCCAAAACTTGTTTTTATTATTGTCGTCACTATTATTAGTAGCATAATTAGTATTATTAGTATTACTAGTATTATAGTATCATTACATTAAAACGACAAGAAACACATACAGGCTCGACCAACAATGAAGCAGAATCGGAGCAGGTGTTGTTTTTTTCTCTCCAGAATGTACCCCAGATGTGGGCGAAGGGTTTGTTTGGTTTGGTACAGCTTGGGACGATTTTCGCCAAATTGTTTGTCGCTGAAACTGGTCCATCGCACTTCCCCAGCGGCTAAACAACACATCTTGTGGAAACAATATGTTAACGTGACGCAAAACGTTTACCTGGAGTCTCCCTAAGGAGCCGAAATAAAAATGGGTCCATGACCCTTTTATTTTGGGTAATGACCAACCATTTTTACAGGGTCATGGAGACTCCAGGTAGACTTAATTAGCCAATGCACTTATAAAGTGAGCCATATTCAGGCCGCCATTTTGAGAAAAAGGACTCCGATGTTTAAAGGTGATGCTCAAAGTGCGAGTCTCGGTCCAACCCAACATGGGTGACGTCCTGCTGATGTTCCGACAACAACACAAGCCCTTTGTCCACATACCCATTTCCCGCCAAGGCCCCAAAGGGGGGGTTCCAGGTCTCCGTCAAAGCTCCCGACACAGTGGTTCAGCGGCAGCGCCTTCGCAGAAAGGTTCTATCATAAGAACGCTGGGTCGAATCGAAGGGGGGGGGGCCTACATTTTACAACCCCATTTTGTTTCCACCCAGCTCCAATTCGATTGATTTAGGGCTCTACAGCCAGGTCTTGAGACCCAACACCAAACACTTTGGGGTGTCCCTGTTGGAGGCTCCCGGATTCGGCGTTCAAGACCCAGAGCCCTCCATTGGACACCCCAAGGTGTTTGGTGTTGGGGGGTCTCAACACCTGGCTGTTTGAGAGCCCGAATCACTCGAACTGGAGCGTTTGGGTTGGAGACGCCAGTTGCAGCCTTTTTGCAGCAACTGTGACTGTGCTTAGGGGAAAGTGGCTGGAAAACAGCCATCGCAACTTGGCGATCCAGGTTTGTTTCCATGGATCCGAGCCGAACACGGGCCTTCGATCGATGGCCAAGACCAGTCAGATCCCAGTTTGGGATAGGTGCACCACCCATTTCAGGACCTATTTGAGTGGTTGGATTGGGATGTTGGGGCTACGATTTTGGTTTTGACCCATGGCCATCGATGGGTACCAGACTGCGATCGGGTTTTTTCTAGCAACTGCGACGGTTTTTTTTTCGGGTAAAGCGGCTTCGGTGTCTTTCGATCCGAACCGAACACGGGCCTTCGATAGGTACCAGAAGCAGATCGAGCACGCAGGGCGGAAGGTCTTGGGAGAGAAGCTCCAGGCCTTGAAGAACATGGCCCGGAGCCCCGAGAAAGATTTCCCGATCGATTTTTCTGCCTGAACGGGCCCAACAACTTCCTCCAAATGGGTGGTTGAAATCAATATTCCCTTAGAAGGGCCCTCAGTTTTGACCATGGGCAACTTTTCTCATGTGCTTGACGCAGGGCTCCTTAAAAGATGCATGTTGCCCATTTGAAACATGGTGCTTTTTCAACACCAAAATCAAGGGAAACCACCATCTACAAGGCAATGTTCAGGTGTATAATGTAAGGATCCCTGTTGACAGGAATCAAATTTCTTGGTGGTTTGCCCCCAATGGTCATCGCAGGGAAAGGCCTACGGGCCAGGCCTCCTCCAAATATGACTTCTTTTTTTTATGGCCGCCTCTTTGGAGGAATCACCGGAAGGGGACCACCGTTTAGAAACCCCACGCAATAATTTGACTCAAACGCAAATATCAACAAACGTGGGAGCAACCCGCAAACTTAAAAGAAGACCTACTGTGGATGGACGACATCCATTTCGCACCACCTAAGAAACCCCGGAATGATGATTCCCCTGCAAATATCAACAAAGGTGATGGGTGCAGGTTTGCGTCCATCCACAGTATGACCCGTGTTTGGGCTCCTCAAAAGATCTCCATTTTGCGAGACCATTTGAAACATGGTGCTTGTTCAACACCCAAATAAAGTTGGACACCACCATTTACAAGGCAATGTTCAGGTGTCTAATGTAAGGAGGCCGCCTCTTTCGATCAAAAACCTGGGGGGGGGGGGTGGCGCATCCTAGGATCCACTTCTCGCTCGGGAAGTGGCGTATGTGGTGTGTGTTTTGTGGGGTTAGGAATTCGCTCTTGTCTCCTCCATTTGTTTTGTACGTACCTGGACCCTCAAACTACCCATAAAAATGGGCTTGACCCCCAAAATTATGGGGTGATATCCCATTTTTAAGGGAATTTTGAGGGTCCAGGTATATCTCTATATACACTTAGGGTTGAGTCTACTTTGCGGGACAGCCCTGAAATCGGTACTCGGTCGAAGATTTTTAGGCTTCCCAATTACCTTGGGGCGCACCTTAAGGTTTGGTGAGTAGTGAATGAGCCCCACTTGAAGCATGCAATGGACGGATCCATTTCCATT